TATATATATATATATACAGTATATATACAGTATGTAGGTGTGTGTGTGTGTTCAATACCCCCCACCCTCTGTAAAGATATACTGTACTGATGTTCATATGTTCATCGATGTGAATATAAAAACGATTAATCAAAATCAGTTAAATGTGCACGTTAGTGCTCTTTATTCAGAAAACCCACATGTAGTCACATCTACATTTCAGGATCTGGTTATCTGGTTACACAGATTAACTGTCAAATATGAATATTTCTATGTTTATTACCAAAGTAATAGTGTTACACACATTAGTAGTTGGAAACACTCAAAATAATACATATGTTGGTTTAGTGCTTTCCTATAACCTAAATATTTAAGGAGTAATCATTTTTAATAATCACGTTAAAACTTACAAATGTTGTGTTTGGTGCCTGTTTGTTTTCCAAATTTATTAGTTTGTGTGAATGACAGACATCAACTTAAAACACTTTGTAGAACGGTGCTTTATGAAGTTCAGTCCATTTCTTTCTATTAGTTGACCGGCAGATCTGCCACATTCAATATGGCGGATGCTCTGACGTACTGCTGCAGCAGGCCAGCCGGCACTGGTGGGAAGGCCCTGCATAGTGGTATTTTTAACCATTTAAAAGTTTGTGTTGCATTCAGTTACAACCTGTAAATTTAAATATCTACACTGAAATTGTAATTACTAAAAAAAAAAGAAAGAAAAGAAAGTTCAATATCAAATTCAGGTTTCCTCCCACAGATCAAAAACATGCATGTTAGACTGATTGGTAACTCCAAATTGTCCCTAGGTGTGAGTGAGAGAGTGAATGGTTGTTTGTCTCATTTGTCTATACACTGTGATGGACTGGAGACCTGTCCAGGATGTACCCCGCCTCTCACACAGTGTTGGCTGGATATAGGCACCATTAATCCCCGTGACCCAAAAAGGAAAAAGTGGGTAAAGATGGTGGATGGATGCACTGATAATTTTCAATATTAAATTTGTGGTTCATCATTTTGTTTTGGCAAGAGTGTTTTACGTTGGAAGCCCTTCCTGACACAACCCTCACCATTTACCCTGGCTTGGGACTGGCACAAAAGATACACTGGCTTGTGCTCCCTAGTGGATGGGTTTTTTTATTTTTAGAAATTTTGTTTAATAATTAATTTAGCAAACACAATAATGTCTAATTTATAGCACTGTGTTCATGGTAAAGACAGGTACAATGTGGACTAAATAAAGAAGCAGTTTGTGAAAATAGGAACAACACAACCAAAGGCAGAACATGGAAACACATGAGATGAAAATAGTTCAAGTTTTTAAATGTTCACATCTTGTGGGAACCCTCTTATAGTAGCCTTTAAGGCAGACTGTTAATGTAATTCTTAGTGGTTTGAGTGTTTCTTTTACTTCCACGTAAATCAATCAATAAAATCATCATCATCACATGCTCAAGGTCAAGGTTTTCTTTATTGTCTTTCACATCTCATGTGGTACACAGGGTCTCAGTTACAGCAAACAAAAGTATAAATTGTAAGGAAAAACAGTAGTAAAATCTAAGATATGAACTAAGAAATACGTTAAACTAAGAATATACTAAGCACTAATAGTACAAGAACAATACGCCGAACAACAGCAGCACGAACATGAGTCTGTGTGAGCAGATGAGTACTAATGAACACAGCAACATGAAAGAAATCAGCAGCATGAAATCAGCAGCATGGATAGTCAGCAGCACATATCAACAATCAAGTGGCATTACAGTGATTTTTTTCACAGTGATTATCCTGGTTAGAGATTCATGAGTCTAATAGCCTCAGGGTAGAAGCTGTTCCTCAGCCTGGTTGTTCTACACTTAATGCTCCTCAACCTCCGCTTGTTCTGAGCCTGGTTCTGCTGGACGGTTCTTCCTTTTCAAAGGGAGTTTTTTTCCTTTTCACTGTTGCCTTTGTGCTTGCTCAGGATGGGAAACTGCAACAAAGCCAAGATTCAATGAGTCAGCTGGCTTACTTAGATAGAGAACTTTACTAATTGGCTTTTCTATGTATGTGAATGTTTCTGTAAAGTGCCCTGAGACAACTTTGTTGTGATTTGGTGCTATATAAATAAACTGAATTGACTTGAATTGAACTGAACCTCCTGTCCGAGGGGAGTGAGGCAAAAAGTGTGTGTGCTGGGTGAGTGGGGTCCTTCATGATGCAGGTGGTGCAGAGAGACTTTTTGAACCATGTGGATTTTCTATGTTCAACTCTATGCTAACAATAACCCTCTCGTTTCCTAGTGGAGGCCGTGGTGGAGTTCGACTATGAGGCTCAGCAGGACGATGAGTTGACCCTGACAGTGGGTGATATCATCAAGAACATACGGCGGGATGATGGAGGCTGGTGGGAAGGCGAGTTGGGAGGACGCAGGGGGCTTTTCCCTGATAATTTTGTCCGAGTGAGTAAAGTTTTTTTTTTTCTCTTTTGTTGTGCCGACCCACAGAAGACGCTTCACAGACAGACAGCTGCAGATACAAACAGATAGTTGTGGCTTTCTTTGGTATTTTGTGTGACAGACGTTCAGTTTATTTTTTAGTGGCTCACAGATCTTTGACAAACAAACAAACAAATTTAAATTTTATATTTGTATGTTGTTTTCAGCCAGTTTTCTCTTTTGTACAGCACACATACTGTTTTATATCTACTTTGTAAGTAAAACATGCAAATGAAGGAAAATTACTTGTAAAACCATGTATTTTTTTTCTAAAGTGCATGTATTATAATGTAGAGCAGACGTGAATAGCTTAACATCTTCACACTCGTCAAACCATTCATATAGCCCTCTGACCCATTTTGAAAACAGCTGTTAGTGATTTTGATGTGTCCCCAGACTTAATATTAAAGGAATGTTTGTTACTTTTGAAAGTTACATGCATATAGTTACTCAGTTTTGAGTGGGGTTGTGTGAAAAACATGAGCAATCTTCCTGACCGCAGTGAGTTCTTAGTTTGGAGAAGCAGGAAGTGGGAAAGACCACAAACCAAACTACCATTTATCCATAATTAGGGCTCTTCATTGCAATCCAGTGGATGCTTATTTCCGTATTATTTTTATATTGTGACACTTATGCATTGGTATTTTATTTGTCACTATTTTCTTGACTGAAAAAAAAACCATCTGTTGCAGCATTGATCACTTGGCAAATGCTACTGGTCTAATTGTAAAATACCCAACAAAGTAAAAGGGTTGAAAAAGCAAAGAATATGAACACAAGCCTTTTTTTATCTTAAGTTAAAGTTCACGGTTCTTTATAGTCATTCACATCACATGTGGTACATGAGGTGGAACAAAATTGTGTACTCAAGGTCCCAGTTATCCAACAATAGCAAAAATATAAATTGTAAAAGCAACAGTACTAACAATCTAATATATAAACTAAGAAATATGCTAAACAATAGTGCAAAACAATACACTGAACTAAAGTAATGCAAGACATGTTATCTAAAGTAAGACATAAGCACTGACAGTGTCGACTCATCAGTTAAATGCAATTCAGTTTATTTATATAGCGCCAAGTCAAAACAGAAGTCATCTCAGGACACTGAACTGAAATATTCATATATATAAAAATAAGTTTATAACTTTATTTATCTGAGGAGCAGACTGCTTCTCCATCACAAAACTCTCATCTTGAGCAAGCATGAAGGCGACAGTGGAAAGAAAAAACTCCCTCATGAAGAAAAGACCTCCAGCAGAACCAGGCTCAGGACATGTGGCCATCTGCTTTGACCGGCTGGGTTTGGTAGGAACAAATACACAATAGCAGCTGAAGAATCACATGTTAAGATAGAAATAATATCATATGAAAACTATTTAATTTTAACAATTCATTTAAGGAAATCAGGTCAATTTGTTCTCCAGTAGTTTAAGCTTAAGACATCATGACAAGCCAACCCTAACTATAGGATTTATCAAAAAGGAAAGTCTTAAGCCCAGTCTTAAAACTGGATAATGTCAAAATGCCTCACAGACAGAAACTGGAAGTTGGTTCCACAAGAGAGGAGCCTGAAAACTGACAGATCTTCCTCGCATTCTGTTAGGATTTGTGGTCGGAGCGAACCCAGAGTGCAGAACAGGGACTCAACTCGGCAGATATACAAAAATAGGTCTTTAATGATAAATAAAAAGTACAAAATAAATATGCTGACGGGGCAGCAAAACTTACATAAACAAGGAGGGAGGCACGGGGAACTCAGGAGACACGAGGAACTCGAGGAACCAGGAAGAAAAGGAGAGACTCAGGAGACTCAAGGAAGCACACCCAACGAAGAACGACCCGACAAAGGACAAGACAGAATAGGACTGCTTAAATACTTGGGGAAGACGAGACATGATGACAAACAGCTGGGACGAGACACAGGTGGCAACAATGGAACTAATGAGGGAGCACGAGGGAAACAGACAAACCGGGCCACAGAAAACTAACATCCTTACACATTCTGCTTTTGGAAACTCTAGGAACCGCGAGTAAGCCTGCAGTCTGAGAGCGAAGTCAGGAAGGGCATCTGATGTAAAAATAATCGGCAAGTATTCGTGCGACTGAGTTCGCTGTGGTGACCCCTAAAAAAGGGAGCAGCCGAAAAAGAACAAAAAATAAATAAAAATCCTACCTGAGAGAACTGACTGGGACAGTAAGATACTTCAAAAATACTTCACAAAATCAAACTTAAATAAATAATAATAATAATTAAATAAATGAGCAAAACTTCTAACAAGGAGTAATTTTTTTGTGCTTGTCATTTAGTAAAGTACATTACCAACAAAAATTTGTGCTTAAACCAATAAAACAATAAAAGTTGTGCTTTATGTTGCACAGACTTGAAAAATAAATGATAAAAAAAAATTCTAATAAACTAGGGGACTGACTTCAGTTTAGCTTATATCTTGTGGAATCTCAAAGCACATTTTGGTGACCAGGTGACATAAAAAAATAATAATAAAAATAAAAAACTAGAATTTGTACTTAGTTTGCACATGGAATTTAGTTACATTTCTTAAATTTGTCCATATTTATTTGCAGTTTGTTCATACTCCAAAGCATCCCAAAGCAGTTTGTTCCATTTTTGCACCCAAAATGCCAGATTCTCTATTTAGTCTCTAGTCAGTCAGTTTTGTTTTATATGTAGCCAATTCCTTTCAAAGTTGTTTCCCATTTTTTGAAAAAAAAAAAAAAAAAAAAAAAAACGTGAAAAGAAGAGAAAATTAAATTGAGAAGTTTTGAGATGGGTATCAGACAACTGTCACTATTTTAACAGACAATTTGTCTTGCTAATTTTCCAACATATTAAACGTTCCAGCTTCTTCCTCCGTGTTCTGAGACATGTTTTAGACCCTCTTGCAAATGTCTTTCTGAATTTGTTGCTGACAGTGAGACAGCAGCTTAAGGGTATTTTCAACCTTATGACTCGGTTCAAATCCTGTTTTATTATAATTTGTTCTGTCTGTGTAGGTGATTAGTGCATGAATCAAACCAGGTGATTGTGTTCCTAATCCTGACCACATAGTTGTTCAGCCAACACCTTAATGCAATTTGAAAAACACACAGAGAGAAAAACCTACAAAGCAAGAATAATGGAAAGTAGAATTTAAGAATTTATTTTTTATTTGTTGATACATTGCTTAAAATAGCTGCAGCTAGTGAATGAGAGACTCTTCAGCATGTCAAAAACATAAATGTAATTTTTACTTTTTATTTTAATGTACCACCTGGGAGTGTTATGTTAAAATTCTTCTTTAGACAATGTTGTTTCATGCAACTTTAATACCTGAGTCTGAGTTTACTTATTTTATTCCTTTTTTTTTTTTTTTCAGCAACAGTTTTGTCAGAATTTGGAAAATGAACTTGTTTTAGGAAATAAACAAATTTAAAGACCCTTTTCAGAGGTCAAGTACAAACTTGTAACAAAATGTGAAATAACATAAAGCGTTGCTTTTTTTAACCTTGTTAAAAACATGTTGTCCTTTGACATGTTTTCATGCTTCATTCTCTTCAGTGTTTAAAAAAATACTTCTATTAAATCAGCCATTGACATAAATAGTTACTGCAAGCAGAGAGCATCAGAATAACCAAGAAACACATTTAACCATGAGAGGGTTTCAGTTTCTGTCATGTTTGTCATTGTCACGTTACCTACTACTGTAAAGCAATGTTTTTATGTTCATTAAAAATAGACTAAATTTGTTCTGTTTGCCAGTGAGCTCCAGGATTGATTTTACTGGTAAAATGCATTAAAATTTAATGGTAGTGTCTTGCTAAACCCATGTTTTTTTTCTCTTCTTTAACTTAATCTCCATTCATATAAAAAGCTGAATTTGTAGGAATTAATTTTTGTTTTTACTGTAAATATACCACTAATGATGCAAATGTTAGCATAAACATATAATTCTTTCTTTATTTTTCAAAGCAATTATATTTTTTTAAGTGGGGTCTGATAAAATGTTTTAACTTTTGTAGATAGCTTTTGAAACGGCCTTGGTAAAAGATTAGTCCAAACGCCTTTGACAAGATAATCTGAGCAGGGATAAGACCAAAGTGGGTCGCTGCTGTTTTAAAACAAATTCAACCTCAAAACTTTCATAGCAGTTCATGCATATTCTATTTTATGATCCCTTCGACTGCCATCAGTTTCATCTTACACCGTTATTTTTATAAATTTATGTTATTTTTGCAAGCGAAAGCAGCAGGGCAGCTAGCTGTAGCACTTCTCTTATGGCACTTCCAGCAGGAATATATTATTTGATGAGCTAACGGGCTAGCTGTTAGCTCATGATGAAACTATTTAAAGAGGTATAGATATTAATCTATTTCAAGTTTTCAGTAAAACCCCACTTTGAACGATTTGAGGTTAACTATTCTTCCATGTGATCTGGACCTACAGATTCTCTTTATTTTTTCCTAGTAATTTCAGAATTGTAGTGATTTGCTGCCTGTGAATTCAAATCTGATAAAATTAAAAATAAAAACAATAAGGTATCTCATCTAATTTCAAAATGCTCTATCAAGTTTCAAGGTTCTTTATTGTCATTTGCATCACATGTGGTACATGAGGTGGAACAAAATTGTGTACTCAAGTTCCCAGTTACACCCAAAATAGCAAAAATATAAAGTATAAAAAAGAAACAGTATACAAGGATCTAAGATATATGCTAAACACTAATAGTGTAAAATAATATGGTGTATTAAGCAGCAGCCTGAACATGAGTCTGTTGTGAGCAGGTGGGTGTGAATACAGCAGCTTAAAGGCAAGAAATCAGCAGCATGGATAATCAGCACCACAGATAAAGTGCATATCTCCAATTTAAAGTGGCATTACAGTGATGTTCCTGGTTAGGGATTTATGAGTCTAACAGCTTCAGGGTAGAAGCTGTTCCTCAGTCTAGTGGTTCTACAGTTAATGC